ACTGGTTGATGGCGTGAAAGTTAGATAAATGCCAATGAACAACTTTGAAGCCCACTTCCCTCTCACTTGCTCCACGGGCAAGAAGGTGATCTGCACCTGCTCGGCGTGCATTGAGCATCGCGTTATACTCGATGGCCAAGAAATCCCAGGCCGCAGGGTACGAAATTGCGGCAGCTGCCAATCGTGTCCCGGAGTATGCTAAAGCCTGTACCTCCCAAGCCCGCAAATCCCACCCTGTCGGGGTTGAGGAACTTTTCGATGAGGAGGAGGATGGCAAGAACAAACCAAGGAACTCATCGGGTACGCAACATCAAGAGCTGCTCGATCTCTGGATCGGCCAAAAAATCCCACGACCCACCCCCCCAAAAAAAAGGCAATGATCATCAAACCATCAACCCGCCACCCGACGTGTCTCGTCTGCCACTCATCTCTCTCCTCTGCGCCCACCAAAGCCACTCACACTTCGGCATCTCTCTAGCTCACTCTGCAAACAGTACGGCTGTATATGTTGCACATACACCTCTGTCAAATAATGCTTTTCCTTCGGCACACTACGATTCTTTCTCGGCTGTACCTCGTACCGACAATGAGGTTCTCGAGGAGACAGCAGACACGTAGCGGCTGGCGGCCGACAAGAATTACAGGGCGCTGGGGACGGTTCTTCATCTAGTGTGATGTCTTCACTTAGTAGCCAGGATGTCGATATTAAAGCCGAATAGTTCATCAGAGCCACGAGAAAGATTGTAAAAAGCTCTTCGACCAGGAGAGCGCCGAGCGAGAGGGGCGGAGCAGTTGGTAGTAAGCGATTCGCCTGACAGCTCAGAGCGGGTGTGGCTGTGAGTCCGAGGTGTTCCGTAGGCGATCCGTGATCTCGCTTATTTCAACATCAAATTGAAAGCTCTAGAGATCAAGCACCCCTTGCGCAACATTGTCATGGAGGGGGGGCCTCGTGATCTGTTACCACCACCATCTTTTCGGTGGGGGCAACGTCCCGAGGCCTCCCCGCTGCTGCAGGCAGCGGGGGGTGCATGCGAGCTTCCCCCACCGCAAAGATGCGGACCCCTCGACCCCGGGGTGGTGCAGTGTCACGTCCATATCCACCCGCATTCCATTGCCTTTCCTCCGCGCACCTCACACCCCGTCCCACTCTCCTGTGTACTTGCCCGTCATAGCTCGCTCATCCCGCGTCCACTTACTATCCACGCGCACGTCCCCTTCTCGTATCCACAGCCCGTCCCTCCTCGCGCTCGCAGCGTCCCCTTCCCCGCCTCCCGCCCGCTCTTCATCCACCCAACCCTGTGCGCTCTTAGCCACCGCCACGACCCCTCCACGCACCCTTGCCCGTCCTGTCCCGTCCTTCTGCCCCCCCCTCGCCGCTGACGCGGGCGTAGTATTCGCCCGCTGTCTCTCCATCCTCATTGCCATATCCAAGTCTCAGGGCACTTGAATCATGATGTCATTCACGCGCGTCCGAATCCCCGCGTGCGCAACTCCACGTTTCGAATCCACGCCTATTTCAATTCAAGGCTCGACTCACGCCCGCGCAAATTCAAGGCTTGCGCCCGCGCGAGGCTGCGTCGTCCGCAGCTCCGGATCCGGATCCGGAATCTGAATCCCGACTCCTCCGAATTCCGTACAAGCACATCCGAAATCCAAGTCTCGAATCCGAATGCCCGCGCTCGGCGCTTGCAAATGCACGTCCAGGTCTGAATCCTTGCGATCTCAAACTTCAAATCCAACTCTCGACTCCCCGCGTCACGCGACTCCAACTTCACGCGTATTACGTCCCGTCTTGACTCCGCATCAGGTCCCAGCCCTTCTCAAAGTGGCGCGCATCCAGATTTCAGATGCATATCCCCGCGCTCACAAGTGCAGGTCCGAATTCACGCGCTCGCAATTCCGACTCCATGCGCCCCGCCGCGAACGAGGGCGAGCGGGGGTTTGATTTTATGATCCCGCGAGATGCGTACAGGTGGCGTTGGGTGGTGTTATGCGGTAGGTGCGAGGTAGGTAGGTATGAAGTGCGACGATTAGTGGCGGAGGGAGGGTGCGGAGAGTCCGTCGCGAGGTGCAAGTACTTAATATGTAGCGCTGTTATTAGTTTTTTCAAAAGAAAATGGGTATTGGTGGAATGTACGCCGACTCGTAGGGGGTGGGGTTCCTGTTCTAAGCGGTCTTTCTTCGAGGTGGGATAATACCGCCGCGTGCGAAGAGTGCGAATGGAAAAAGACGAAAGAAGAAGAAAAAAAAGTAGTTTTGACGCTCACTCATTCGGACACAGGATTCGAACCCTAGACTGCCTCCTACATTCAGTTTTCCTACTGCACGAGGAGAGAAGCTGTGTTCCCACTACACCATGTCCCAGTTACTTCCCAGTACATCCAGGTGGCTTTATCAGCTGTTGAATATCAGCTGGGTGGCGTTTGAATGTAGAACCTGAGTGAGGCCGTCCTTTTCTTTTGAGGTGGATGTGGATAGTTGGGGAGGTTCGAATGGAGGACGGTTGCGGGATAAGAAAATGGAATATTACGTTCAACCGGAACTCGGACACAAAGTAACAAACCCTGGACTGCCTCTGGATGTGATCTATATGATACAAAAAGAAGTTATGTTCCCGCTACACCATGTTTTCAGTCATCAGGGTGGTTTTATGAGATTGTTTGAGTATTAGTGTCTGAATAATTGTAGACGGAGCGGGGTTCTCGTTCTTTCTTTGTGCTGTGGATATTCAACCCTCAGAGCGGGTTCAACCGTATGTTCGGTGAGAAAATGAAGTTAGTAACACAAGATGAAAAAAAAACCTCCGCCTAAATTCAGAGAGAGGGGATCAAACCCTGGAGTACCTCTTGAGTCACCAGATTAGAGAAGAAGAGGCTCTGTTCCAGCTACCCCATGTCTGACTTCCTTTCTAAAACATCTAGGTAGTTTTGTTGATGAGTTTAAGGGCGGTTACAAGAAAAAGAAAATAGGAGGCAAAGTATAATTCAGACACAGGGATTCGAACTCCGGACTGCCTCTGAAGGATCGCGTTAAAACCCTTAAGAGAAGAGGCCATGTTGCCATCACAGAATGTAAGAATTTTGAAAAGGTCTATTCAGGGATTTGAACCTCCAAAAGTCACACCTCCTCGAAGCACATAATAATGAGAGGCCGCACACCATATCTGATTCCCTCTGCTCTCCTGGCTGGGCTTTATTTGCTCCGAGGTTGAACCAAGGTTGAACCTTCCCGTGTCGGCGCGTAGATCCTGAAGCAAATCTGGGGGGTATGTATAAGGCTGCTGAGGTGTACTTGCGAGAGCTCGTTACGATAGCGCTGAGCTCACCACCATTGCGGTCGTCGAGCAAGTCGACGTTACAGGCAACGTGCATCGGTTCGCCATCCCCCCATCAATGACGTCACCCGCTTCCCCAACTCGCCTCGATGCTGTCGTCGCGCTCCCGCCCAAGCGGCCCGCCCTCTCCGGGTCCGCGTCCTTCGAGCCGTCCTCGACAGTCTTCTCCGACGCCTCCGGCACCAACCACCCCGCGCTGCAACCCTGGCCGCGTCGTCCGCCCTCGAGTCCCATCGCACGCCCCATCCACTTCCTCTGTGGGCCTGTGCGAGGGTGGCGCGCTCTCACAGCTTCACTTTCCGCGTCCTTCCGCCTCTCTTCATCGTCCATCCACGTCTATCCTCCTTTCGTCCACCACCACACGGCCTCCCCCGTCCCGCTCTCATTCCCGCCTCTCGCGCCCGCTTCCTGTCCTTCCTGCTCTCATTCCGCCGCTCCCTCTCAACGCACCCACCCGTCATCCCTCCTTCCTTTCTCTTTATCATCGTCTGCATCTTTCCCTCTACTTCTCCGCTCTGCCGCCCGCGCTTCGCGCCCCCAACGTCTCGCCCCAATCCCTTCCACGCACCGGGTCCCGTCTCCGCCACCCGCCGCGTATCCCTTTCCCGCCATCAGCGCCATCCGCCTCCATCTGCTTGCCCGTCATGCACTTCCTCTCCTGCGCCTCTCCCTCCCTCATCCCGCGCGCTACGCCGTCCCTCCCCGTCCCTTCCCTCCGCGCTTGCCTGACCGCTGGTACGCGCACGCCGTCTCTGTATTCCTGCCATCGTCACAATCAAGCCCGGGATCTCGCGCCCGTAATGCAAATGCAATTCGACATCCCGCGCCCCCGCGCCCGCACATCCAGGCGTAGCCCCGTGCCCCCTCGCCGCCCACGCTCGCGTCGTCTCCACGCGCTGTCTCTCACTGCCACCATCCACGTCCAGGTCCAGGCTCTGCATCCGAATTCCTGCGCTTCGCAAATCACCATGCAGGCGCTCAAATCCAAGGCCCCAGCTCTGGCTCCGAATTCGAATGCCAGTGCCCGCACTCAAAGTGCACCGCATCTCGAATTTTCACGCTCCGCACACGTTCGATCGATCGCAAATCACAATGCCCGTGCTCGCAATCCACGTCTCGAAGCTCCGCGGCGGCAAATGCACGCGCTCGTAAATAAATGCAGGTTCAAAGCACGGACATTCAAGTCCATAGCCCGCGCTCGCAAAAATCGGCCGGCATCTCGAATCCAAGGCTCGAGTCCCGCGCGGGCAAGTTCGTGGCTCGAATGCGTGCGCTCGCAAATTCGTCCCCGCCCTTTTCAACTCGCCGCGCTCGCAAACTCAAGTCCCGGCATACGCGCATCGCCTCCGACGAGCACTAACGCGAACGAGGGCGAGCTGGGGTTTTGGTTTATGATCACGCGGGATGGGTGGGTGGCATTGTGCGGTCGGTGCGAGGTAGGGAGAGGTGCGGGCGAGCTGGGGTGGAGGGAGGTGCGAGGTGCAAGTATGTATGTAGCGCTGTTGTTAGTTTTTCAAAAAAAAAAAAGATATCGATCTTGTTTGAATGTACACTGAGTGAGCGGGGTTCCTGTTCTGAGCAGTGTTTCTTTGAGGTGGGGTGATACCGCCGGGTCCGATGAGTAGGAATGAAAAGAGAAATAAAATAATAATCTGGTCCTAATCCATTCAGACACAAGGATTCGAACCCTGGACTGCCACCGTAAACTTATAACTATCGTGAAAAGAAGAAGAGGCTGTGTTCCCACTACACCATGTCTGAGTTGTTTCTTGGTACATCCGAAAATTTTTATGACCTTGTTTGAGTATTAGCAGGGTTTTGGTTGAATGTACTACTAGAGCCTGAACGGGTCTTTTGTTTTTTAGATATTCGAATTTGGAGGCACGAGCGGGAATGTTCGACTTGAAGCTTCAATTTCGAAGGCGGGAGAAATGAAAAGGAAAAAAAATCGACAGTGGATTTCCTATTCAAACATAGGGAGTCGAACCCTAGACTACCTCTTAATTCTCCAGTCCAAAGTAAGGAGAAGAGGCTGTGTTCAGACTACACCATGTCTGAGTTCCTTCCTACTACATCAGGGGAGTTTTATGAGCTCGTTTGACTATTAGCATTAAATGATTGTAGACGGTGCGGGGTTCTCGTTCTTTCTTTGTGCTGTGGATACTCAACGCTCAGCAGTGGGTTCAACCGTACATTCCGCGCGAGGGCAGTGAGAAAATGAAGTTGGCAACACGAGACGAAAAAGACTTCTCCCTGCAAATTCAGACACAAGGGATCGAACCCTGGACTGCCTCTCAATTTTTAATCTACTTGATCCCCAGAATAAGAGGCTGTGTTCCCCTTACACCATGTCTGAGTTCCTTTCCTATGTATGTGGGTTGGTTTTATTAGCTCATTCAAGGACAAGTCGGGAAGATAAAGTTTGATTGGTGTAAAGTCCGACCACCTGAAGGCTGACCAACTTCGTCCCTCCCGCTACTCACCTCCTCGGACTCTGCTGGTACTGCTTGCATTCGGCTCGGACTATTTGCGGCCTTGTTAACTTCGTCCCGCTCGCGCTTACTCCGATACGGCTGTATCGAGGCGAGGTCTGTTCTAATATGGATCGAAATAACGTCCCGGAGGAGATCGACATTCTTGGTGTTTCACCTTACTTTGACTTTGTTGCTGCCATTGACAAACGCACTCATGAACACCCCACCTCCTAAACCGCGCCTCTCGGCACTCACTTGATCCGGCTACCCGAGGACTTGGTGTGCCAGCGAGGAGGAGCACATCGGCACCTACGCAGAAGCCGCAGCCGTCCGCCTCAACATCGTGGGACCGAATGCTGTCCTAGGTATGTGTCAGCCCCACCTACGTCGTTTGTCTATCAGCGACACGCTCACACCATGGAATACTCGTCCGAGGACGGTGCCATCCCCGGAGGGACCATCCCGCCTTTGATGTGCATATGCCGTCCCGGTCGCCATCCCTGGCCCGAGCGCTCTCCATCAAACATCTACTAGTAGTAGGGCCGCAAATCGAACCAAAGTTTCTCCCAACACATTGAACAATTTTGGACGGTCAGAAAAAGGATCACCGTGCAAATACACCGCTTTCGAAGATTAGAATCTTCACAGTATTGTCACTTGGGCTTGGCGGCTCGCATTTTCGTTTCTTGTACCTCTTGTGTATATCTTTGCATTCCTATAACGGTACATATCTTGCCTACAGTATTTAAATGAGGCCGATGATGGTGACAGCAGCTTCGAGTTCGAAATCCCCCTTACAATTCCCGATGCCGCCTTTCCCGTTCCATCGGGATTTCTGAGCGGAATTGAACAAATTGAACATCAAATTGAACGTAGATCACGTGACCATGTTCAACTTCGGTTCTCCGGTCTAGAACGACTTCTACATGCCAAGTTACAATAGGGTCGTTCGCAGTTCACTTTTTTCTCCCATTTTTTCCACCATTTTTTACTGGATCATTGGTTTTACTTGGTTTTAGCTCAGGATTTTTTCCCTTTTCAATTCATGTAAAGAAGGTTGAAAATGGATTTCGTTTTGACTTGTCAGGTTTTCGTTAGGGACGATTTGGTTTTTATTCTGGTCATAAGTGTTTTCATGCTCCCTCACCAAACACAATGATCATTGTCGAAAATTTGCAGCACTAGCTATCAAACAAGAACCAATTTTTTGTCCAAAGCAGACACCTATACTTCGAGACCTTCCACACGGTCTCGGTCGAGTTCTTCAGCGACGGAGTGCGTGCCGCCGCCGCGGAACTCGCACGCGTCCGGATACCCATCGCCATCATCCACGGCTCGGACCATATCACATCTCCCGCCGGATGTGCTGATGAGCTCCTCAAATCACTGAAAAGCGGGGGCCTTGACGTGAATGTCACTTCCATCCAGGAAGCCCCGCATTCTGCTAAATTTACGCATGCCAACGAGTAAGCCGCTGCGATTCACGCCTCTCTATAGTTCCCTTAGCTGTTTTTCTCGATTCAGGGTTAATACGCTCCTGTAAGAGCTCGGCTTGGCTCATTCTGGGGGAGCGAACATTCCTCCTGCGCAATTCAGCGCTGAGTCGCCGTTCCCAGAAATTATGATTGAGGTGGGGCTCCGGGACGATGGGTGAGACAGCGATTCAAATTGATACGCGTAGACAATCTTTGTGTAACTTCGAAGTCTGTTTACGCTGAGCTTATACCCCAGTAGAGCTGTGAATGTCCTGAGATTTGAACACAAAATAGTGCTGTTCAAAGTTCCCACTATTTGACTTCCTGTTTGACTTCCTGTTTGCTCCCTTTTTGCAAATTTTGGCAGGGATCCCTGCCAAAATCTGCCGAAAAGGAAGAGACCAGGAAAACGAGTAGGAAGCGAAAAGGGACATACTTGAAACCCTAGGGTTGAGATTTTCGGACCAGGAAGCAAGTAGGAGAATGTTCCTGGTCTGAAATACTGCCAAATCTCAACCAGGAGAGCAAAAAGGAAGTCAAAAAGGGCTGTTTTTGACGAACAGGAGCACATGTAGCTCCTGATTCGACCCTACTTGTGTCCCTGCTTGTTCTCCTGGTTGCACCATCAACACAAACAGGAACACAACCAGGAGCACAACTAGGAGCCCAAGTAGGGACCAACCAGGAGCTACTTTGAACACCACTAATACTTCATTCTTCGATTTGCCCCTTTACATTTAGTACCTACACTCCCCCGAGTCCACCCAGGGTTCTTTCAATCCACTCTAGAAACATTTTACGCTCGGTTCCACCGAATTAACGAATACTCACTGGTCACTCTGTCCCAGCAATGGTTATAGGCAGCAAAGGATGAGATTCTGAGTCGCCGGGCGCATTACGAGAACGTTTGAGCCTCAAAATGAACTTGAAACCACGGATCACCGCCACGGCGACCATGGCGAGCAGTGCTACCATCTGGTCCATCTCCAGGACAGATATCCGAGTCAGCGGGAAGTATCCGCCCCGTGGGAAGAATGCGGAGATGTACACCGCTGGCCAGTAGAAAACGCGGACTGCAAACCACAGCGTTCCGTAGAGGATGGCGAGCACGACCGCGCCTGAGAGTAGTGGCACGCACGTAAGCACCGCCCCCCAGGTGAATCCGTCATATGCGCTGAGGATCAAGACGCTCCGTAGGTTGCGGCGGGGAGCGATACGGACTACGAACGAAACGCAAGTGGCGATGGCTGTTAACATCCCCACGAGGATCCAGTAGTCCCGCCAAAGGAACAGCTCGAGGAGCACCAAGGGGGGTACCCAGAAGAAAAAGAAGACCGAGTCAATGTCGGTAAAGGCGAGGATCTTTAGTCTGACTATCCCTAGTTTTTTGCCGTGTACAAGACACCAGGGAACGGGCGCGGTCCTCACGATAGCCTCGTGAGCGCGCCAGGTGAACGGAGTGGCAGCGATGGCGAGAACCACTGGAATTATGGCGATGCCAGCCGTGCGGAGATGTAACCAAGGACGGGAGCCGACTCGGATGGCGCTCGCAACGGTGAAAAACGAAGATCCAGTCCCGATCACGATGACGCGTTCCGCGCAGAGAAGAGCCGGCAACAATACCGACTGGCTGCCACTATCACCGAGGGCTGCAATTGTTCTCGCTTTGAGGATGAGATCGATTGCAGCAGCGGTGGTGTAGCAGGATGCGCCAATGAGATCGTAGTCCCATTCAAGTGGGAGTTCGCCGCCCTTGAGGAACTTGAGCAAGGCCAAACTTGTGTGGCTGTTGGTCATCCCAAGGGTAATGAGCCATGCCCACCATGCGCCTGGGCCGTAGAATCCGGAGATGGGGGTATCGGAAGTGATCCTGGAGAGAAGCTCCTTCTCGGTGGCCATCGTGTCCTGAATGATGAATTTCATGCCCCAGATAATCGCGGCTAACGTGGGGATGCCGCAGATTGTGCCGATTATTCTTCCAGCCCAGGAGCATGGGGTCGGAGGACTCCTTAGATGAGGTCTCTGTGGCATTTGGATGACGCCCTATGAGTGTGTTAGAAATTGAGTCGGTGACGGGGAAAGACTGACGGTGGTGGTAGAGAAACAGCAGTTTCGGCTTCTTCGAGTGGGCTGTGCCGGACGGTAGACACGTGGTTCTGTGTGTCCCACGTCCACTGGTTGCATTGCCACTCTGACGGCATATCGGTGTTGGATGAGGGGCTTGCCGTAGAGCTGTCACTTGCGCCACGAGCCACGCGAGGAGTTACCGTGTTACTGGAGGGGTTAGGGCTGCCGCCCGTGGCCGTGCCCACGGTTCGACGGCACCTGTGCCACGGGTGCCGTGCCCGTTCCGTCAGCCATTTTGCGACCTTGACTACGGCACGGCTACGGCACGGGTTTCCAACCCCACGGCCCGTCGAAACACGGCCGTCACGGCCGTGTAACGGGTTGGTATTGTGGGCCACAATAAGGCCAATTTTTGTCTGCAGCGTACTTCAAATATCTAGTAACTTGTTCGACACGCATGCCCTTTCCACAAAAGTTGTGTTTCGTGCCGGCAATTGCCGGCTATGATGACGGAGTTTGATCTCAGTTTGAACCACAACCTGTTTGTAGCGGTGACTGATTCCTTACCTGCTTTCTTGTTTCCAAGCATAATGAGGAGTTGAGGAAGCTCTCAGTATCATCATTTGGTCATTTGCCAGGTTCTTCTGTCTTGTGACTCTCGGCATCTTGGTGTAGGCTTCACTATATTTAAATATCAGGCTGTGAAATATATTTATCCTCTTGTACATTTTATAGAGGCCTTCAGGTAGCATTTACATCAAGAACAGCTCACGAAAATATCTGACCAATAGCCGTGTACCCGTTACGGCCGTGCCGTGAACCGTGCCGTCCCGTCGGAGGGCTGAAAATCATCCTAACGGCCGTGTAGAGCACGGGCCGTGCCGTGGATTGCCCGTGGATTCCACGGCCGTGCCCGTCACGGGCACGGGCGGCAGCCTTAATCCTCGCACGGGCCCACAGAGAAGATGAAAGAAGTGGATGGCGCGTGCGGCGATGGGACTGGAGTGCGGACGACGCCGTGGGGTGCAGCATGGGATGGTCGGTGTCGGTGGCGTCGGCGAAGACTGTTGAGGATGGCTCGAAGGACGCGGAGCCGGAGAGGGCGGGCCGTTTGGGCGAGGGGCGGGATGTCGACAGTAGAGGATGGGAGCGGGTGACGTCATGATGCGGGGGCGCTCGACGACCTAGCCGGCGGTGAGCTCGAGTGCTCACAGGCCTCAGAAGCTGGGCTTGGCACTGACACCAGCCTTAAACATACCCGCCAAATTTACTTCCGGGTCCACCCGCGCCGCGCGGCCAAACGGGAATGTTCAATCTTGGCTCTCAAATAAGCCCAACTGGGAAGGGCAGAGGTATTCAAATATGGTGTAGCGGGAACACGGCCTCTTGTATTGTCTCAAATCCAGGGTTTGAATTCCTATGTCTAATGAAGCTTTCTCTTTATATTATTTTACTTGCATCCTCCTACAACATGATAATAAAACTACTCGGCTGTAATGCAAAGCAATTCACACATGGTGTGATGGGATACCGCCTTATAAGGTGTGTCATTGTTTATATTTCGAGGTTGTTCGGGGTTCGAATCCCTGTGTATAATGAACATAAACTTTTTTTGTTCTTGCAAGGAGACACATAGAACTATTCGGATGGATGAAAAAGAAAGTCAGACGTGATGCAGAGGGAACGCGGGAAATCAGCTGTATTTATATTAATAATATAAATACAATGCTTGCGGACTTTTAATTTGGAGGTAGCCAAGGGTTCAAATCTTTCTGTCTGAATAATCTGTCCACGCTATGTTTTTCTTCCTCCATCCCCCTTGAATAACCTAATAGAACTGCGAAGATGAAAGAAAAGCCGCTCAGACATGGTGTAGCAGGAACACAGTCTCCTTTCATTGTACTCAACATACCCCCAGTTGCAGAGGCAGTCCAGGGTTCGAATCCCTGTGTCTGAATGGTCTAGCTTTATTTTATTTTTCCTGCCTCCCTCGAACGTCCCAATAAGCTTACCCGGATGTAGGAAGAAGGGGACCCAGACATGGTGTAGTGGAAACACGGCCTCTTCATTTGTACTAGTAGGTTCTTGCAAATTATAAGAGATAGTCCAGGGTTTGTATCCCTGTGTCTGAATGAAGATCGACATTTATTTTTCTCTTTCTTTTATTTGCTCACACGCCCACCTTCGAACTCAGCTTCAAGCTCCAAGCCAAACGTACCTCCTCGCGGCTCGAAAAATGAAAACCCAGCTGCACCCCGAGTCTAAATTGAGAGGCAGTCCAAGGTTTGACTCCCTGTGTCTGAATTCCGGTTGAATGCGAGACTTTTTCTCTTCGATTCCATTTTCTCATCCCGCAATCGCTCCGTTCATACATCCCTAATCATCCACATCCACCTCAAAAGAAAAGGATGTCCTCACTCCGGCTCTACATTCAAACACCACCCAGCTTATACTCAACCAGCTGATACAACCATTCGGATGTGTTGAAAAGTAATTCAGACATGGTGTAGTGGGAACGCGGCTTTCTATTCTCATAAAGTTAGCACGAGAGGCAGTCCAGGGTTCGATTCCCTGTGTCTGAATGGGATGTTTTTTCTTTGTCTTTGTCTTTTTCTTTTGTTATTTTCCATTCCTACTCATCGCACGCGGTGGCATTACCCCACCTCGATCACGAAGGACTGCTCAGAGCAAGGTGAAAGTATGGGTTATGGAATAACCGGGCCATTAACCGGGATCAGAACCGGTGGCGGCAACGGCGCCCCGCGGAGTTTCAATCCATTGATGTCAAGTACTAAGACTCTTCCCACTCACCCACTACGTCCCGTATCCATGTTTTAATGTTCCGTGTTTTAATGTCATTAGGGTCTCACAGAACACGACTGTAATTGTGCTATCCACTTATATCTTTGGGCTCTACTTTTCTTTCCAAATAGGGGTGAATGAGAGAGAATGCTAATTTATTCATCTTTAACAATTGGAAAATACACGGGACCCAGGCATCCAGTCTCATAAGGTATCCCTGTAGCAAGGAAACATCAAATTGTCGTCTTTGGGGTCGTAACGTTTGATACACGGTAGAAGGGCAATAGAGAGGTTGCGCAAAAGCCATTGGAGCCATCACGTGGCTTATTTGGCGTGCGCACACGAATGGCTCCACCCGCCAAACTCTGACGTCAATGGCTGGGGGAGCCATTAGCCTGCCATTTTTCGGTGGGTGGAGCCATTAGTTGCGCACGCCAAAAAAGCCATTGATTGGCTCCAATGGAACCTCTCTAATGTTGTGCCTTGTGTGGCAAGGTCATGCCGCCTTCTGATCACTGATGCCATCATCCCTGTCGGGCATCCCCGTCAGGCGCCCCGGTTCTCCCATATCCCATTTGTTCTCAGAACAAGAACCCCGCTCGGAATTCACTCGGTGCATTCAACCAATATCCATTTTTTTTTGAAAAAACTAATAACAGGTGATGCACTTGCACCTCGCGACACCTCGCGCTTCCCTCCGCCGCCAGCTCGCCTCGCCTGCACCTCTCCCTCCCTACCTCGCACCTACCGCCCGCCCGACACACACATCCCGGAATCACGAAATAAAACCCTTGTTCGCGTTCGTGCTCGGAGGCGATGCACATCGGCCGGGTCTTGGGTTTGCGAGTGCGGCGATTTGAGAAGGACGGAGACAAATTTGCGAGCGCGCGGACTCGGACCTGCACTTGCGACCGCGGGGATATGCATCTGGTATCTGGATGCGCGCCGATTTGAGAACGGCTGGGCCCTGATGCGGAGTCAAGACGGGACGTGATGCGGAGTTGCGAGACGCGCGGAGTCGAGATGCACTGGATTTGAGATCACAAGGATGTAGACATGAATGTGCATTTGCGAGCGCGGGTATTCAGATTCGAGACTTGGATCTCGGATATGCTTGTACGGAATTTGGAGAAGTCGGGACTCAGATTCGAACCGGAGCTGCGGACGACGCAGCCGCGCGCGGGCGTGAGCCTCGAGTTTGCGCGGGCGGTGAGTCGAGCCTTGAATCAAGATAGGCGGGGATTCGAAACTTGGACCTGTGAACGCGAGAATTCGATGTGCGTGAATGAGATTCGAGGGCCCTGGACTTGGATATGGGGATGGGGATGGAGAGACAGCGGGCTGATACGACGCGCGCGCACTAGCGCGGAGGGACGGGACACAACGGTGCGCGGTGGGGTGGCGGCGGTGGCTGGGAGCGCGCAGGGTTGGGTAGATAGAGGGCGGGCGGGAGGTAGGACACGGGCGGGTAGTAGGCGTTGATGCGGCGGACGGGATGCGCGGCGGGATACGATGGCGATGTTGATGGCAGACGTAGACATGACCACGGACCGAGGTGGGGACAGAAGGGGGAGAGAGTGGACGGTCGAAGGAGAGGAGAGGGAGGGAGGGAGGAGAAGGGGCGTGTGCGGTAAGCGGCGGAAGAGAGGCGAGGGCGAGGGCGAGGAAGGACAGGGAGGCGAGGAGAGACGGACACGGACGGATGAGGAAGAGGGGCGGGAGGAAGTGAAGCGGCGGAGTGTGAAAGGAGAGCACACCAAGATGATTGAGAGGCGGGGAAGGGGACGCTGCGAGCGCGGGGAGGGGACGGCCCGTGGATACAAGAAGGGGACGTGCACGGGATACTAAGTGGACGCGGGGTGAGCGAGCGATGACGGGTAAAGACACAGGAGGGTGAAGACGGGGTGTGAGGCGCGAGAATCACGCTCTGTCTACAATTATTCAAATGCTAATACTCAAACAAGCTAATAAACCCACTTGAAGGTGGCAAAAATCAACTCAGATATGGTGTAGTGGGAACATTGCTTCGTAATATGCCGAAAAAATCTTCATCTTTCGTGGCAGTCCGAGGTTCGAATCCTTGTGTCTGAATTACATTTTTTCTACCCTTTCCTTTTCTTGCATCCTCCCTTGAACTCGCCACAAACTATCTGGATTTACTGGGAAGCAACTTGGACATAGTGTGCTGGGAACACAGTCTCTTCTTATATGCACGATGCCTCATGCTTCCGAGGCAGTCCAGGGTTCGAATCCCTGTGTTTGAGTTCATGTGTATGTTACTCCTAGCTCTATAACTCTCCAGGCTTGTGCTTTTCCCTCGCTCTTATCTAGCTGAACCATCTTGTAGACCACCCCCGATTTCCTTCTAGTAACGGAATCGCAAAACCAACCAGATTCAGCCTCAGACAGTCTGGCACGTGCCTTGCCTATCTCTGTTCATATCATTTCGTCAGATTCACTAATTGCCTCAGGTATTTAATTTCCTAACCTCTTCATTCACTGTACATGTGTTATTAAGTCTCCTCGATGTTCTCTCATCATCAAATGACACTGAGCAAAGACAACAATTTAAATGCACGTGCCGCTCGGATGGCATGTGCACAACCTCAGCATCTGGTTTCCATATTTTTACCATGCTCACAATTTTTAGAAGACTCCAGACGGCTGTGAGTGATGCTGATTTTTGCACTGGACATGAAGAGGCGGGGAATCTGCGCCGTGGGCCAATCAACTTCTCGATCTGCGGCCACGGCAGTAAGGCCTCCGAGGCTCCTTCTCTTGAGTATACAGGGTAACCACTGTTTATCCCGCCGTTCTCTCGGAACGCCCTCTTCTCCTATCCTCCCTCATCCATTTATTACCTGATTCTCGCCTCACGGATCGTTGGTCTGATTCATTTTCGGCTTCGTCGCTATAATTAATCTTTCTGGACTGGAGCTTGTAATTTTGGTTCTCTGTGCAGTCGCTCAGTCATCCTCATTGGGATCCTTCTCAATGTGGCTCCTCCACTCCCTTTTGGCACTGGATGGCTTCATACACCCCCCCGCCCCTCCTCACCTCTTGGATGAATCCCCTGCACGTTTACCAGGGTCTTCTGCTACATTTCCCGCGTGACATCGAAAACGGCATCATTCTAACAGCAAGCACACCTGGATAAGCTTTTACTTCTTCGTTCCAGTCCCGTGTAAGCTCCCGTTTGTAATATGTTCCTGTTGAGCTCACAGCCAATCACTCCAACCGCGCAAGCGGGCATTTCGGGGAGAACAAATTGCTCACTCAATCAAAACCTAGGATATTATCTATCTATTTGTGCCCCGCCGCTTGCCGGCTATTCACTTTCATGAGTAGGGTGGTGGTGGGACGATGAGTATTGGAGCGGGTGACGTCATTGATGCAGGGATGCGAGCCGATGCGCGTTGCGCTCGGACCGCGGTGAGCTCGACGCCGTCGTGGACTCGAACAGACTCGAACCTCCGCAGCTGGCAGCCCCACCATTCCAAGGGGTATCAAGTATCAGTCGGATGACCTATTGATTCGGCTGACTTCAGACGGAAAACCCTGAGAAATTTGGAGAGGTTTTGGTCCAAAACATAACCCTTGGAATGTTGTTCACGTTTTCAATTTGCCTTCAATCGTTCATGTGTCGAATTGGAGGGCTGATGCACCTTGAAGATACGGAAAAACGGCAGCCACTCACGAAATCGGAAACATGGCCCTGAGCTTCCGTCAACCTCGCCGTAGCCGCAGCCCCGGTCACTCTTGTGACTCAGAGTATAGAATCGTGGATATGTGGCTAGGTGGAATAAATATGTGTTGCGATACGACACCGCTCACGTAAACACCCTCCTGGCTAGTTCCGTTCATTTACCCGCGCCTTTTGCGTTCGGCGAAAGGGTCCGATTGGTCTCCCCAATAACTCATTCGGGTCGAAGAACATGCTCGCATCGCACGCCCAAATCCATTCAAGTCTGCGCATCTTCTCAAGGTGTTCACCCCCGCCGAGGATGGCGCGCTCTCACAGCTTCACTTTCCGCGTCCTTCCGCCCCTCTTCATCGTCCATCCGCGTCCTTCCTCTTTTCGTCCACCACCACACGGCCTCCCCCGTCCCGCTCTCGTTCCCGCCTCTCGCGCCCGCTTCCTGTCCTTCCTGCTCTCATCATTCCTCTCCCTCTGCTTAACGCACGCACCCCTCATCCCTCCTTCCCTTCTCTTGATCCTCGTCTGCATACTTCCCTTTACTTCTCCGCGCTCTGCCGCCCGCCCCTCGCACAACGTGCACCCCGGCCCCAACGCCTCGTCCCAATCTCTTCCACGCACCGGCTCCCGGCTCCCGGCGCGTATTCCTTTCCCGCCATCAGTGCCATCCGCCTCCATCCGCTTGCCCGTCAATCATGCACTTCCTCTCCTGCGCCTCTCCTGCTCCTCTCCCTCCCTCATCCCGCCCCGCCCCGCCCCGCCCGTTCCCTCCGCACTTGCCTGACCGCTGGTGCGCGCACGCCGTTGCCACGGTCACAATCAAGTCCGGGACTGCCTCGTGCGCCCGTAAATGCAATTGCAAATCGACATCCCGCGCCCCGCAGCCGCACATCCAGGCGCAGCCCCGCGCCCCCTCGTCGCTGACGCGCACGTCGTCTCCGCCCGCTGTCTCTCACCGCCATCATCCACGTCTACGTCCGGGCCCTGCATCCGACTCCGCACGCACGCTCACAAATCGACACGCAGGCGCTCAAATCCAAATCCCCAGCTTTGGCTCCGAATTCGAATGCCAGTGCCCGCGCTCAAATTCCACCACATTTCGAATTCTCACCCGCGCGCACGATCGATCGCAAATCACAATCACACTCCCCGTGCTCGTAATCCAAGTCTCTAATCTCCGCATCTCGGGTTCGAATGCCAGTGTCCGCGCTCAAATTCCACCACATCTCGAATCCTCACCCGCGCGCACGATCGATCGCAAATCACAATCACACTCCCCGTGCTCGTAATCCAAGTCTCTAATCTCCGCATCTCGGGTTCGAATGCCAGTGTCCGCGCTCAAATTCCACCACATCTCGAATCCTCACCCGCGCGCACGATCGATCGCAAATCACAATCACACTCCCCGTGCTCGTAATCCAAGTCTCGAATCTCCGCGTCTCGCAAATGCAGGTTCAAATCCTGGGTATTCGAGTCCGGATCCATAGCGCGCTCGTGCATCTCGAACCCACAGCTCGAATCCCGCGCTCGCTAGTTCGAGGCTCACATCCGATGGTCTTTCCTCCTGGCTGGATTCAATCTACGAGGTGGAGGCGCACGCTAAAGAGCTGCGCGATGCCGAGGTTGGACTCTGCACGAAGCTCCTCAGGGACCTTCATGAACGGCTCGACGCGGGCGACCCGACGCCATCGCAATTGGGAGACATTTTTCGGAGCATCAACCACGACACTTTGACGCCTAAGGAAAAGCTGCGCTTCGCGACGACGCTGACTGGTTCAGGGATGAGCGCGGGTACCGATCTCATCTGGCTCGCCGCACTTCTCGCCGCACACCCGGAGATGCAAGAGAAGGCATACCGGGCGATCGAGGAGGTCTACGGTGGCGAGACTCCCGACCCTCTGGATACGGACCGTGTTGAATACATCAAGGCACTCGGAATGGAAGCCGGCCGGTATTTCACGTCTATTCGACTTGGATTCCCGCGCGAGACGCACGAGGACGTCGTCGTCGACGGTGTGTTCATACCAAAGGGCGTCCTCGTCGTGTACAATTCCTACCAGATCAACCGTGACCCACAGCGTTATGATTTCCCGGAGGAGTTCGTTCCGGAGCGCTGGATCGATGGGCACTATGGTCGCACAGATGTCAAGCAACCCAAGGTCGGAGTCCCACACCTCAATCATGGCGCCGGAAGGCGCGTGTGCATGGGCGTCGCCAGTAAGCCTTCGCTCATTTGGCAGAACCATTTGTTGACCGTCCATCGCCGCAGATGTGAACAAGATTTCTATGCCAACCTCGTTCTGCTACTCCACTTCTTTGAGCTGAAACGTGGACCTCTAGGTGATGCGGCCCGCGCCGCTGTCTTCCCCCAGTTGCGCGCCGTGAGCGAAGCAAGCCTCGAGGTCCACCCAATCGACGACCAGGTCTCTGCGTGCGATCCTCAAGCGCTGCCGTTGGCTGCCGGGATAAAGCTGACGGCACGCGATCCCAATGCGCTTTCTCGCCGGCTTACCGAAGGACATCGCGAGCTCGACCAGTGGGATCGCCCTAACCCGACAGATGCGACCTTGCCTTCAGAAAGCGTCGATCCGGACATCCGGGGGCGTTACTGAAATGAACATCATAATGAAAGTAGATATCTGAAATGCGTACCTCCAGTCATCTCAATCCTATATCGGTGCATCTTATGGACTCACGCCGACTTGAATCAGAGGAAAATACGCACGTGCTGGGATATGTTGAGTCGCTTTGAATACGGATCTTTGACTCACGCCAGGGCGGTCAAGATCACAGCACCAGCGCTACAAACCTTATCGGCAACTGTCGTCGCAATATTGACCTCTCGCTTGACGAGATTCAGAAGCGGACAAGATTTAGATGTCCATTCCGGTCTCATGTGGAAAGTTGATGGAGACGAAGGTTGGTGGTTTCGCTTCGGACACGATTTCGACCGTGCAGTATCGCGAGAAGATTTTTGGAATACCCGGAGAGCATTAATTGAGCCGGGGTTGAATCAGACGGAGCATATATTCGTACAAAGACAAATTCTCTGCGAGTATACCCGTCCGTGCTATAATTGACATACCCATAGACGACTGCGACGTTTTTCTCGCTGTCGAGCCTGAATGTAACGTGTCGTTTTCTTTTTCTGACTGTCCGCTATATAATGTCCTCCCAACTCAGTACGGACACATAATTACAACAATACGTTTCGTCCATCTGGCTGCCGCAGGCCAGCACGCCCAGGTGGAGAGCCTGGCCCGAACAATATCACCAAAGGCTCGCCATTCGACATGGGGGAATTGAACGCGCTCTCTCATCAGTTCAAGCACATCTCGGCCGTTCAGGTAACTCCTCCTCTTCTCCCGTCCTCCTCATCCTCTCCTAGAACACTGAGATCAAAGGCGGTTGGGATTCTGTAATTTCGTCGGTTCGATTCACATAATGCGTGTCTCATCTCTGCACCCGCGCAGTGAGCAAGCACCTCACGGGTTTTTCCTTCCTCGGATCTGTGGGCTCACCGGCCGCTCTCGCCTGCGCCAATCCCGATGGGAGTTGCTCGTTCCACGCGTTCAACAAAATGTATATCTACTACGACGGCGAGATCACAGACTACCCGATTAATTTCGCGACGAATCTCGACCCCAACGGGAGGACCGTCCCAACTGGCCGGAGTACACCACGGTGACGCCGAACATGATGACGTTCTTGGACGGCCGCACTGGCGCTATGGTATACCTCATCAACCTCACGCTCCAGTTTAGTATCTGAAGCAGCGTGCACGAATGAATTGATCCTTTTTTTTGCGGCCGGAGAATTCAGCTCTCAAGTTTTATGAAAACCAAGCACTTTGCGTCAGAGCCCAATGTTCAAGTTTGGACTTGATTATTTTGCCAAGTTCAACCATGCACGTGATCGATGTTCAACCACGCCCGGAAGACATTCATGGACACAATCTGCAGTACATAATCTGCGGCGTACACATAATTTTTACAGATAATTTATTATAACTACTTGGCCCATATCAGATACCGAGTCCTGTGCGAGGCGAGCAAGGGGAGGCGATTGCGTTCCGGTGGGAGATGACGGCCGGTTCGCGCCTTTCACGTTCCCTCAGGGCTGAATTTCATGATGTGATGGGTTGGGAGAGTAAAAAAAATGAGTGCGCGACGGCGAGGCGGTGGGAACTCATGAAGCTGATTTCCCATGTTGAGCACCAGGAGTCTGCACATTATTCAACCACGCACCGGATTCATGTTCCATTCCGTATTCAATGAATTTAATCTGGGAAATTTTTCTATTCTAATTTGATGGAGCGGAGGGAAAGTGAGGAAAAATCCAGGGGTGCTCTTGTCGGATACTCGCGGCGACGCGGCGCACTTCAACTTGAACATGTAACTGTCACATCAGGCATGTCACGCTTCCCACGGTTCGATCCCGTCGGCACACAACTTATCGACATCTTCTAGAACGATCCGCACTGCGAACGTCTGAATTTGAGACAAGAATCGAAGCCTGCCATCCGAAGAAGGCTCGGACTACTCGGAGGCGATTGAACTCATAGAAGAACGACTCGGAGACAATTGAAGATCTTCCAAGAAATCCACCCGCCTCCGAGTCGAGTCGCAACGACCTGATTTCAATGCCATGTTACATTCAAAACATCTCAGCGGCTCGTTTGACCGGAGCCATCAGATCCATCACGGCGCAATACGTGTCGCCGTCTATGTGGGTCCACAGTGGGTCCCGCGCACTTCTTCCTATCCTCCCTCACACCCCATAAAGCTCAAGGCCTTTCTTCCCCACTCCTCGGATTTTTATTCCTACTCAATGGTCCTCAAACTCCACGGCGTGCGTACCCATCCCATCCCATCCCACCCTCCCCTTCCTCATCATCATCCTGTAACTCACCTGCATTAAATCAATCTACTTACCCTCAGGATGCGCGCTCGACCTGTACCAAGCGCGTCGCCCTGATCCTCCTCGAGAAGCAAGTCCCCTTCACGCTCGTCCCCGCGCTCGCCGGGGCAAAGAGCGCGGAGTACAAGGCCAAGATGCAGCCCTTTGGGCAGATACCCGTACTCGAGGACGCGGGGTAGGTTTTGTTCGGTGCGCATTCTCATTCTGTCTCCCTTTTAAATCGGCAGGGTGTTGATGAAGTGCCACAGAGTCGCGCGCGATGGGACGCTACATCGCGCGGAAGTACGCAGGGCAGGGGACGCCGGGGCTCATCGTTGGAGAGGACGCGGGCATGGAGGAGCTGGGCATCTTCGAACAGGCGATGGCGATCGAGGCGACGCAGTTCCTCGCAGCGGAGCAGCTGGTTCATGAGGTGCTCATCAAGCCGTGTGTCCTTCTCCTCATTTTAGTTCTCAAGGGCTAAACGGAAGTGATTCAGGCACATGGGAGGGACGACAGACCCCGCGGAGGTGGCGCGGCTCACGGCGCTGCTTGCGGCGAAGATGGATGCATACGAACAGATCCTCGGGAAGACGAAGTACCTCGCGGGCGATGTGCGTGCCCCTTTCCTCGTGTAATTATTCCGCTGTTGAACTCATCAGCAAGCATATCACGCTGGCGGATCTCTACCACCTCCCGTACGCCGAGTTGATCACAAACCGCATGGACAGCGACGTGATGACGGTGCGGCCGAACGTCGCGCGGTGGTTCCGGGAGATTAGCGCGCGACCGAGTTGGGTTGCGGTTAAGGATGGGGTTAGTTCGACGGCTTGAGGATTGGAATGGGGTGTCATAAAAGCCATGGATCAGATTTAGATTTGATTTGTGGAGTGGTCGTTTTGTGCAGGTGAATGTTAGGACGAAGAAGGAAAATTAGTGGAAACTCCTGGTGCATGGCTACGATTGCAAGTGTTGCATATGAAGTATGCGCTGTTCGCGTCGCGGTGGCCCTTCTGAGTGAGGGCAGTCGCAAGCAGGGAGCATAGAAGAAAAAACTTAAACCCTGCTCGCCGCGTTGAAAGTCTTCCGCGGGGAACTGGTTCAAGACTAAAATTTAACTTCAGGTCCACCGAGTCCTGCGTTTAGGAGTGCACTCAAACGTGTGCATAGTAAACTTCAGCGAGAGACCACCAAAAAAAAAAGAGATCCAACAAATTTATTCCGATACAAGGATTCGAACACTGGATTGCCTCATGAAAAGAGGCCGCGTCTCCAGTACACCATGTCTAAGTTCCTATCTTTTCTATCGAAGTAGTTTTATCAGGTCGTTCAAAGAGGAATGCAAGAATGCAAAAATTTAAAAAGAAAAATGTATCGCACAAATGAATTCAGACACATATAATCATACCCTGGACTACCTCTGAACATTGAACTGATGCACCGGTATTTTACGAGAAGAGGTTGTGTTTCAGCTCATCCAGGTAGCCTTATCAGGGTGTCCAAAGAAGGAATGTAAATAAAAAGGAAAGTCAACCTACAGTATCATTCAGATACAGGGATTTAAACCCTGGACTGCCTCTAGAACAGACATTCGTGATGAACATTGCCAGTGGTCGTGTTCCCATTACACGCTGGCTGAATTCCTTCCTACTTCCTCGGTAGTTTTGTTAGAGTGTTCAAGGGAGGATGTAGGAAAAAAAGGCATGAACTCCAGCACATTCAGACACAGGGAATCGAACCCCAAACTGCCCCTGACGGTTCAATACCGGCTTACAAGAAGAGGCCGTGCTCCCACTACACCATGTCTGATTCCCTGTGATCTTCCTGAATGGGTTTTATTAGCTCCGAGGTTGACCCAAGGTTGAACCTTCCGGTGGGTCCGGAAGGAAATCTGGCGGATATGTAGAGGCTGGTGTCAACGCCAAGCCCACCGAGGCCTACGAGCACCGTCGAGTCCGCGCTGGCGCCGAGCTCACCGCGGTCGTCGAGCGCGGGCAACGTGTGTCGACTCGCCATCCCCGCATCAATGACATCACCCGCTCCCATCCTCATCGTCCCACCACCATCACCTCGATGCTGTCCACCCGCTCACGCAGCCCCTCGCCCAAGCGGCCCGCCCTCTCCGGGTCGGCGTCCTTCGAGCCGTCCTGGACAGTCTTCTCCGACGCCTCCGACACCGACCACCCCGCGCTGCACCTCGCCCGCGTCCGCCTTCGAGTCCATCGCCCAGACCATCGCGCCCTCCCGCGTGCCCGTGGCTCTCATTAACCATCTACTTCCTTCATCCTCGCCTCTCCGTGGCTCATACACCATTTACATCCACTTCCTTCCTTTAAGTTTCGTCCTCTCCTTCTGCAGCGTTGTGTCCTCCTTCTCTCCATCTCCACCCGCCCAGGCATTCTTTCCCCTCGCTCCGCCTTCCCTCCACGCTCCGTCGCTTGCGGCCCCTCCGCATTCCGCGGGCGCGCACGGTGCTACTGCTATGCGCTACCCGGTCCCGGCTCTCCGCGTAACGCTCGCTCCTCCCCTGCTGCTGCTGCTGGTGCGCGCGCGTCATCTCCGTTCTCCTCATACTGCTATCGCCATAATCCTGTGTCCAATGCTCACCCCGCGCTCGCACGTCCCAGCCCTTCCCAACTAGACGCGCTCGCCGTCCGAATCCACCGCTTCACGAATCCGCATGCTCCGTGCTCGCTCTCACGAATCCCAGTGCTCGCAACTCCGAATCCACGCGCATCACGGCCCGTCTCACGTCTCCAAGTCCCAGGCCAGCTCAAATGTGTCCACGCCCAAATCCCCGCCCTCGCAAAATGGCCAAATGCCTGCGCTCGCAAATACGAACCCACCCGCTCACAATCGACGGGCATCTCGAGTCTCGAATCCAAGGCTCGCTCGACTCCCCGCGCGCGCAGGTGCAAGTCCGAAGTCCCTTACCCGCGCTCGGAAAATCCACCGCATCTCGCAAATGCCCCGCGCTCGGAAATCCGAATCTCTCATCCAAGTCCACGTTCACGCGCTCGCAAGTGCAGGTCCGAGTCCGCGCGATCGCAAATTTAAGGCTCGACTCCCCGCGCTCAAAAATCCACATCCCCCGCGCTCGCAACTTCGCCCGCCCTCGCAAATGCACGTCCCAGCCGTTCTCAAATCGATGCCCACGCGCATGTCGTCCATCTCTTACGCGCACGAGCGTTCGTGATTCCGGGATGTAGGGCGGGTCCGGGGTCGGGTCGGCGTTGTGCGGTGATGCGAAGTAGGTAGGTAGAGAGAGGTGCGGGCGAGCTGGGGGCGGATGGAGGTGCGAGGCGTCGCGAGGTGCAAGTATGTCGGGCTGTTATTAGTTTTTTCGAACAAAATGGATATGGGGTGAATGTACACCAACCGCAACTGCACGGCAGTTCTCGTTCCGAGCGGTCTTTCTTCGAGGTGGGGTAATACCGCCGCCTGCGATGAGTAGTAATGGAAATGAAATAAAAAAAGTAATTCAGGTTACCTATTCAGATACAAGGATTCGAACCCTGGACTGCCTCAGCAAACAAAGCATATCTCTAGAAGAAGAGGCTGTGTTCCCACTACACCATGTCTGAATTACTGTCCCTTACATTCAGGTAGGTTTATTCGGACGTTCAATGAGGATACTGTACGAAGAAAAGAAAAAACTTGGATAAATGGAACACTCAGACACAGGGATTCGAACCCTGGATTGCCTCTGGAAATGAAAAACCAGTTGGAAAATGAAAAGAAGCCGTGTTCCCGCTACACTACATCTGAGTTCCTTTTTCATTCACACGACCAGCTTTATTAGGGAATGTAAGAAGAAAAAAACGCATCCAAGGTCTATTCAGACGCAGGGATTCTAACCCAACCTGCCTCCAAAATATAAATAACCTCCAAAATCACATAACCTCAAAGCACCTAATAATAATGAGAGCCCGTGTGTTGAGTTGTATTAGCTCCGAGGTTGAACCTTCCCGTATTCCGGCGCGGCGCGGGTGGGTCCGGAAGCAAATCTCGCGGGTATGTAAAGGCTGGTGTGTGCCAAGCCCAGCTGTTGAGGCCTGCGAGTCCACCATCGAATCCACGATGGCGTCGAGTTCACTGCCGTCGCGGTCGTCGAGCAAGTCGGCATCGTGTGTCGGCGAGTCACCATCCCCGTATCAATGACGTCACCCGCTCCCATCCTCACCGTCTCACCACCACCTACTCTCAAAGCTGTCGATACCTCGCTCGCGCGGCCCCTCGCCCAAACGGCCCGCCCCCTCCGGATCTGTGTCCTTCAAGCCCTCCTCAACAGTCTTCTCCGTCGTGTCTTTCCGACACCGGCATCGGCGCGCAGACCCGGGTCGCGTAGACCGGTAACCGATCTCTCGTATGAAGACAAATCGTTCATAGAGAGAACGGTCGATCTGAGTTTAAATTCAGATGACGCGCGACGAGATCACGTTTTAGCCACATGTTTTACACGAACTCCTGAGCGGCAGGGGGACCATAAATTCACTAGAAAATTCTAATGAGTATATATGATGCCATTGAGTCCGGCTAGCCCGTTATAAATCGATTCACCTTATCTTCTGGCCAAATTCATGCAGTTTCTTCCAAACAGCAAATTGATGGTTAAAGTATCAGAAGTGATCCCGAATTTTTTCTTGAACCACAAAGAGTACAGGGAAGATATTTACAACGACTCCGGATACTCTTTGTATTTTAATTCGGCTGTCGTGCGACGGGACGTTGAGTGTGTGTCGTTGGTGTGTCGTTGATGAAGTGATCAACACGTGACTGCTCGCGCGTCATCCGAATTTAAACTCAGATCGACCGGTCTGTCTACCGACAAACCAAGGGGGAACCGGCATTCAAAAAAAAGATATAGGGCCGAGTTCTTTTTTCAAGGCCACGGGGACCTACTGACTAACGTAAGCATTCCCATGCTCCATATAAGGAAATTCGCCACATTTTTAAGTCATCGGAGGGTGTACAATAGGGGCAGTCAGAGTAGACGATCAAGCACGGATTATGGGCCACAATTCTGGAAGGATTATGGATTTGTTTGAGCGTGGGAGATTCATAATCCTTGAATGGTGCATAATCTCCTCCAGAGGAGATTACTGTTGGAGACTAGGTAGTTGACCACCTAAGAGTTTAAACTCAATAGGCAATGTCTGTGATTCATTTGACGCCGCCGGCAGGGTCTAAGACGAAGGCATACATCCTATGAGTGAGATAAACCAAGTTGGCCGAATTTAAACTGGGACCTGTTCGTTGTCTGAATTTTCTTTGGCAGGATGCCAAAACAGGCGAAACCCGGGGTAGTTGACCACCCACCCAAAGATAAAATTCAAGACGAGATATTGACTCGAGTGAGTCTGAATGTGTGTAGGAGGTCTAAATCTAATATTCCATCCCGTTAAACCTTCAATATAACCTACATGAGGGCCATACATAATTGCCTTCGGAAGGGAAGGGAAGCAGGCGGGATCAAAGGGTTCATTAATTGCTTGCTGCGCGAAGCACAGGGGGCTGGTTGGGTTGAAATAGGCTATGGTTGGCCTCATAAGAAGTGTACACACACATCTGAGTGTATGTTTCGGTCCATTGATACATCCAGTTTCTAAAAAAAATCGAGAGCTGTGGACCACAGAATTCGGGTCATTTGGGGTAATTGACGGCCGTGGCAGATGAATAAAATGCAAATAATAATGAAAAACCTCAGATAGGCGCAAGTCACTCTCTACGAGGCTCACGTTATCCCAGCGTGACAACGGCAAGGCTCCGGCCACAAAACATTGGGTCACAAAAGAAAGCCAGGAAATGGTGTATTTGGATCCATTGAAGAGATCCTTGGTCTTGCAATCTTAAAATTCAAATTATTGGGTGAGCAGTGTAATATTCTTTGTCCTCATTTTTTTCGAGTGTAAAAATGATTTTTTGGTTGAATGAGCACTGGTTGAGTTTTTCTTCGTCAAAAATTTGGCGCTTAGGTAAGGTTCCCACGCACCATATTGGGTAATCGGTGTTCCGATGCACGGGTGACAGGCACCGGAGTGTGTTCACTCAGTGTTCGCATGCACCAATTCATTATTGGGTGTACTCCAAGAACCTGGAGAAAACTTATTTTCAGGTCTCATGCTCCCAAATCCCCCCCCGCAAAAAAAAATTCGACCCTGCATTGTTAAAATTGGGTGAAAAGAGGCTTATGGTGTTGGGCGCCCGCGGATTTTTGCCGTGTCACGTCACGCGTGACGCATCACGTGAGCCTCGTAGAGAGTGACTTGCACCTATCTTACTAATATAAATTATGGCCCAGTATGATGTTGCTTTACTATCCATGCCCACGTCCCCTTCTCGTATCCACGGCCCGTCCCTCCTCCCCTCGCAGCGTCCCCGTCCCCACCTCTCCGCATCCTAATCATCCTGGTGCGCTCACCTTCACACCCCGTCGCTTCACTTCCCCCCGCCCTTCTTCGTCATCCGTCCGCGTCCGACTCCCCTCGCCTTCCTGTCCTTCCTCAGCCTCGGCCTCGGCCTCTCTTCCTCCTCTTACCGCACACGCCCCTTCTCCTCCTTCCCTTCCTCTCCTCCCCTCCGTCCGTCCGCTCTCTTCGCTCTCTGTCCCCACCTCGGTCCGTGTCCGTGTCTATGTGCACCGTCGCCACCATCGCACCCCGCCGTGCATCCCGTCCCCTTCCGTGCATCAACACTCACCACCTGTTTGTGTCCCGCGCCTCCCACCCGCCTTCCATCCACCCAACCCTGCGCGCTCCCACCCACTGCCGCCACCCCTCCGCACACCCTTGCCCGTCCTGTCTCATCCCCCTGCACCCTTGTCGCTGGTGCGGTCGTCGTATCCACTGTCTCTCCATTCCCATCCCCATATCCAAGTATCCAAGTCCAGGGCCCTCAAATCCCATTCACGCATATCGAATCCCCGCGTGCGCGACTCCACGTTTCGAATCCCCGTGCTCTCAAGTCCAGGTCTCCAATCCCGGCCCGCGCAAATCCAAGGCTCGCGTCTGTGTGCGGCTGCGTACCGGTCACGGTTTTGTTTTGGATGATGGCCAAAAAAAAACATGCATATAGAAAGGCTTGTTGTTCTGAGTGATACACGAAAAACATGCTTTGACCCAGTACTTCCCGGTAAGCCAGGCAGTAAAGAAATTGGGCGCACATATAGGCCCTTCTATTCACAATGGGTTATTTTTCATTCTTCTTCAAAGCGGCTGACTCGGGCGGAAATAAAACAGAAAATGACAATCTGAAGAAAGAGCGAGATCAACGCTCAGAAAGTGTCCCGAATATTGAAATCTTCCATGACAGGGTAACAGCATTATTTTGCCCCAGGAGTTGCCAATAACACGCAGATCATAGCTGCTGCGACACACGATGAGGTCCCTCTCCTGGTTCGACTTTGAGGTTCAACTTCAACACATGGAAGAATATTTCAGGGGAATACATCCGAAATATTTCAATCTGTTCCTAGACAAGTGACAAAGTTTTGTATTCAGGACTATACCTTTCCATGGTCTGCTTTGAGCTGTGCCGAATTTTTGCCTGCTTATCGTTTGCTTTGGCTCCGAAAATGGAACGCCACCTACCGATCAAACTTTCCGAAATGATCGCAGCGCTACTCATCTACTACAGACTCGTGTGGAACCGCTCGTCTCGTGTTTTCAAGCCGTCTCATTATACTTGAATATACAAATGGGTTAGCGCACGGTAAATGGGGGAATGAGCAGCGCATACCAACGAATAAACCCCGCTCCAGCGTGTTCACGAGGATATACCCACTCTCGAAGTGGGGGTACGTCGACCAAACTCCGCCGAATGAAGGCTCGCCGCCGACGGCGTCCTCTTCGGGGTGAGCTAGGCAAATTGTATGAGCAAGGGTGAAGGTGAGAGAAGGAAAGGCGCACCGTCGAAGAATGCAGCCTCAAAGAAGTCGGCACCGGTGGGGTCGTCAGCAACGCTGGAGACATCGACGATGCGCAGCCCACTCTTGTAGTTGCTCTCGAGACCAGGCTGTTCTGCGGGTCAGTGAGAAATGGTACATTAAACAACGACTGAATGAACATACATGCATATAGAGATTGTGGTCGACGGCGACGATGGGCGACTTGTACCGACCTGTGAGAACGGGCCGCGAGAGGTCTTTGATGTCCCAGATGTAGGTCACGGTCTTTTGGTCGGTCGCCCAGCCTGCAACGGCGTCCGAGTCAGCTCGAACATTAATATAATATGTTACAGTCCAACGAACCGATGATGTCTGACCAGTGTGCCCTCGACGCCAACGGGGACCTCAAAGACGCCTCTGATATTGAGTTCTACGTGTCCGAGTCCGATGCCAAAGCCCTACCCGCAAAATCGACAGGTCAGTGTTGAGATTATTTTACTCTAGCCAGAAATGAGTTTGTGACTGTCTCCTACGTAGCATTGGTTAAAAACTGTGCCTGGCAGAGAGCCGACACCTTGCCGTCGCCCGTGACGGCCGTCCCGTCGCCCATCCCGTTCCGTAGAGATTTTCTAAACCTCCGCGACGGGACGGAGACGGGACGGGAACGGGACGGGATTTAACCGTTGCCCTCCCGTCCAAATGACGGCCTGACGGGCGCGGCGCACAGCCCTAGAACAATACCTCCTGGCAGGCACAGGTTGATTCGGGCCAGATGACAGTTGAGATATGCTCAAAGATGGCGTGCATCGTTCCTTTGTAGGTCCTGTTGACCGGAGGAAAGGAAGAGCCATTTTGTTGGTGATACCATCAGCTGAGGTAATAG